TGTGGTGCCATGTGGGCTGGGGTCATACCCACTGGGGGAAGGTGGAAATATTGGCTTGGGGTCAGTACCACCCCCTGGGCAGTAGAGCTTGGGAAGGTGGAAAGTTTGTCAGGGGTAGAGGGGCTTTGAATTTTGGGATGCTGAATGACTGCAGATTGGTTGCTTTATTTCCATGGAGCATACTAAGAATACCCTAGCTCAAGATAGGTAGAGTAGTTTAAAGTAGTAGTAGTTTAAAGTTAACCCTCACCTAAAGTGCTGTAACTTTGATGTTTAGAGGGTGCTGAGCATAGTTTAACACCCTTTAATACAGAGGTGGGCAATTATTTTGGGTGGAGGGCCACTTAACAAGTTTTGGTGCGCTGTCGTGGGCTGCAAAGGTTGCCCTGCCTCTTTACAGGTGCCCTGCCCCCTGGTTGCCATCTTGGTCCCACCACCTAACCCTTGACCTTTGTCACTGGAAGTCCCTCCCTTTGCCCCCAGATGTACTCCTTTTGGGAAGGGGGTTTGCCATCTTGAAACTGGGAAAAAAAACCAAATTATATACTAAAAATAAAACATTGACAATAACATATTTTAATTTTATTGAAAAGTATATTTTTGTCCTGATTTGTGTGTGTTTGTGTGGTGTTTGTAGAGGTGATTGCATAATAGCTCAAATGAAGTCTTTCTCTTGTATATTGTTGGAAGCTGTGGAGGAGTGTGGGGGGCATAGGTGGGTGTATATGGGGTTTGTGGGTGGCTGTGGATGTGTGAGTATGTGTGGGGTTGTATGTAGATGTGGGTGGGTGGGTGTTTGTGGGGATGGGAAGGTATGTGTGGGTGGGTATGGGTTTTGTGGGGGGATGTGGGGTATGTGGGGTGTGTGCATGTAGCAGTGAACAGGGCTCCCCCAGAGGCGTGTGCATGTGGGGAGTGGTGTGGGGTTTGTGGGGGTGTGTGGGTGGGTGTGGTGTTTGTGGGGTATGTGATTGTGTCTGGGGGAGGGTATGGTTGTGGTGTTTAAGGGGAAGGGTTTGTGGGTATGGTGGGGTGTCTATGGGGACCCCCCATGCATGCTTTCCTGAGCCAGTCAGTACCAACCCCAGTCCCGCAACATCCTGGAGCCCGTGCACCCTGCAGTGCCTGCCCGCCAGCACCAATAGCATGCAGCCCCTGCCCCACCTCTGCTCCAGACTCACCCCTGCCAGAGTGGATCAGCCAGAACCCGGGTAAGACCCTGACCTGGCCTGCTCCACACCACCCACCTGTGGTACATCCTGCTGCCCCCTGGGCATGTAGCAGGGCTGAGGTGGCTCTGCAGCTGGACTGGCTTTCTAGGCACCTAGGTGGCTCTTTCCACCTGCCACCACCTTGACTCCTAAGACTTTTTCAGAGTTGTTGCTTTTCAGGATACATTCACACGTAGGTATGACCTACGCTCTTCATCTGTGGATGGATAACTGTGACCTTTGCTGTATTAAAACACATTTTGACTGAGTAGGCATAACCTAGCAGGAGATCACTTCACTCTGACTGTCATCATTTATTACTCTGCCAATCTTTGCATCATCCATAAATGTTTAGCTGCACTGATTTTTATATTTACTTCCAGACCATCAAGCCAGCAAAAATTCTTTTTTCTTTAACTGCATTATCTCTACAGAATCATGCTTGAAGAGATATGTACCTATGTGGCCACAGAAATGTCTTGAAGTAGTTGGCAGTGAAGAGAAACATCATTTCCTGGAGGCATTGTATTTCAGAGACTGATGGAGAACAGATTTAGATTAAACATTAGGAAAAATGTCTTTACGTCGAAGGTTGCCAAAATCTGGAATGGGAATCCAAGGGAGGTGGCGCTGTCCCCTACTTTGGAGGCCTTTAAGAGGACACTGGACAAGCACCTAGCTGGGGTCATCTGACCCCAGTGCTCTTTCCTGCCCAGGGCAAGGGGTCGGACTCAATGATCTACTGAGGTCCCTTCCAACCCTAAAAATCTATGAAATCTATATACTCCCTTAGTCCACCCTGTAACACTGTCTCATTTTTAAGCACAAAGGAGTGTCACTGTGCTTCTATTGAGTTTGTACATTAAGAAAACAAGTTACCATCTCTGTGCAACTAACCCTTTTGTCCTTCTTTAGTTGTCTTCACTAGGGAATGTTGCTAATTGAACAATGATTGAAGTACTATCTTCCTAAAAACAACTGCACTTGATGCAGTGTTGAGAAAATGGGATTTATGAAAATAAGACTCAACTTAAATGGATCAGTCCTACATATTCAGATAAGGATGTGCAGTGGATATGTGCTAGGGCTGTACAAAGCTTCTGTCACTGATTTAATTCGGTGGAGATTCAGCCCGATTCAGTGGCTGAATTGCCAAATCCAAATCGAATCAGGAGACCCTTTAATCTCTCCGAGTCGAATCAGAACCCTCCTAATCGATTCAGAGAGATTTGGAAATATTCGGCGATTTGGATATAGACACAGCTTTGAATGTTTTTCCTATATACCTCAAGGTGTCAGACAGCTTGTGAATGCTGCAATGCTGGTGTAGATGGAGCATCCCACAGGATCATGGGGAACTCGCCAGTGTGCTTGGCAGCAGACCTGGAAGTAAATGGTCCACCCCAGTCAAACTCCACCAACAATTCCAGGTCCACCAGGGAGTGTGCTGGCACCCCCCTCCCCACGCTACCCCAGTTCGGTGACTGGTGCCTCCTGGGCCTGGGGGGGCACCTGGGGTCCCCCTGTGGCTGATTGCTGAGCTGGGAGGAGGTGCAGGGGGCCCCCCCGTGCACTCCCCGGTGGACCCAGAAGTGGACCGGAAGTACTTCCAGTCCACTTTCGGGTTCACCACCAAGCATGTGCCCCCCTCTTGCCCCCCCCTGCACTCCTGTGGGACGGTCCATCTGTTCCAGCATCGCAGCGTTCATGAGCCATGCCTGGTACCTCGAGGTTTGTTGAAAAAACATTTAAAGCTGTGTCTATGGCTAAATCACTGATTCTCCAAATCAGCATCGAATCTGCAGATTTGGATTCAGCAGAATTGAACTGAATTGGGGACACTGATCTGAATCAATTAATCAAATAACTGTTCATGATTCGGGCCAAATCTGAATCGAATAGGGCCCGTTTCGCACACCATAATACATGCTATCAAGCCTGCTATCTCTTAGGGAGCTAATGAGAAACTCTGAACCTGAACCATTCAGGAGAGGACACATCAACTAATTTGTAATATAACTGACTGCATACTGGAATTCCCTGAGAAAACTTTTGAGATGATAGATATTTTTCAAAGATTTCTCCAAAGGCCATAAATAATCTATTTGACTTTCTGAAAAATTTAATTTTATCCAAATAGTAGATAATTTCTGTACAAAACACACAACCTTACCTCCCCACATGATGATGGGAAATCTAAAAGCATTGCGCTGTGAGTTGACAGAAGTGAAGTTTTGTTGTCAGAAGTTTTAAGTAAAATGTATTGGGGTACAGTGTACAGCAACTCTATTTGACAGGCTACATAGTGAAACTAAGAGCAGGAAAAAAAGATGAGAAGGTAGCTATTGTACAACTGGCTGCTGCCAAATATCTATATAAAAAATAAAGTCTTATGCTAAAATGATTACCAACCATACACTGGTGTGGTAGATTGCTCAGGAACTTAGTCTGCAGTGGAAAGGCGAAGGGCAAATGTTCTGTGACCTGCACAAAAAGAAGGAAACAGACATGACTGCACTCTGTCTAGCTTACACATTTTTGCTACTGTTGAGATGTGATATGCAAATAAGTAACCAATGCAAATCCTACATCAGTAATGGGCAATCATACATTATATCACAGACTATAGATCAGAATAGTCATTTACTGGGTCAGATGATTAGGTCGCTCTGTCCCTCTCAGTGGAAAATAATTGATGCTGAGGGAAAGGGCAAACAGGGCATGTGCAGACTATTCCACCCCCTGCTTCTCTTCTGCTAAAGCTTCTAGCTTTTGAGGTTTAGGAAGTTCCGATTCAGAAAAAGCACTAATACCTCTGATGTTCTTAATATGTGGTGTCCCCATAGCTGTAGCAGTTTATTCTGCCACATTTCTCACATTCAGGCAGTAATGAGACAGCCTACCTGGGATGTGATGGCCAGCTTAATTTTAGCATCTTTCCAGAAACAGACAGGTCCTGACCAAAGACAAACTACAGCATCTCTAGATAAACCAGGGAAACAAGGTTCTTTGTTTAGGACTACATTGTGCTATAAAAAAATGTACTTTTTCCAAGGTTGCATCAGGTTATAATGGTGAACCCTTCCCATTTACTTGTTTAGAAGGTGCAGCAGTAACCACACAAGGAAGACTGGAAGGAAGCAATGTGGGAGCAGCCTCACCACTGCAATGTCTGTAGGGCAAGCATGTGATACGTTACTGATCCTAAGGTAGCAGTGCTTGCTGATGGGGATGGTTACTGCAGCTATAAAATTACAGTTTTAAGTCCAATATAAGTCGTTTTTCAACAAGATGAGCTATTTAGAGGGGGTCAGTATGCTTCATCTATATAACTCTGGTGCTTATAGTAAGAAGTGGCTGGGTGTAAGGCTAATATTTTAAGCATTATGTAAAAATAACTTGTGTTGAAAGCAAGGAAATTCCAGGGTCTCTTTCACAGGTTACCACTGACTTCTAATGAAGTTCTAGAACTATAAATATATACTTTGGTGGGGGAGGGGATTTTATATATCTTTTTTCTAACAGCCGTAGTAGATATAATTTGATCAAGAAAGAGGTGTAAGAAGAAAGCTGGGTGCCTGGGGTAGTGGTGGCTCCTAGCTGTGGTGCTGGTGGCATAGTTGTGCAGCTGCAATGCCAGCTCTTATTTTCTTGCCCTCCCCCAAGTATGTAGCTCTGGCTGCTGCCCAGGTTGCCCCACCTAAGTTACACTACTGCAAGAAAGCTTGTAGGCTCCTGATCATTTTGAAGAAATGTGCATTTAATGTTTTAAAAATATTTGTATTTCAGAGCTGAAGAAAGACCAGTTAAGAAAAGAAAACTGCAGAGCTGTAGTTTCCAAAAGAAGAAGCTAAAATTAATGGAAGCCATGTTGGAAGAACAAAAGAAATTAAGCAGAGCTATGGAAGAAACCTGTAGAGAGGTGCGCAGGATTTTGGATCAGCAAAACATCATTCAAGTTCAAAGCTTACAGCTACAGGAAAGAATGATGAACCTATTGGAGAAAATGATTTCCAAGTCTAATGTGTAGGATTTTTGTCAATGCTGCTCAAAGTATTAATATTATAGACATCCCCTAATGCATACCTTATGAGTGTCGGTTGCCATCTTCCCAGGTTTTCCATGAAAAGTAAAATCTTAGAGTAATCCTAGTTAATTCAGGGTGAGAATTATCCAGAGCCTTGTGGAGTTAATAAGGATTAGGAAACTGGTGCAATATATGCCTAAATTCAATTATTTTTGTATTGAAAGGTTAAGGAATGAGTAGCTCTGGGAAACTTTTTTTTCCTGTACTATTTATGCTTAGGTCAGCTATTAATTTACAAGCAGCATTGTTGCCTACTGGTTCACACCAAGGACTGTCAACCTGACCTATTGTAGAACAACAAAATAGTATACTTTCCACATAGAGTAAGTCAGCAATCTGCACTGTTTTTGGGCCGAGTGCCAAAAACACCTGCAACCTTGACTTGTAAGACATTGGTGCGCTAGGAGCGGATGTCAGGGGAGCTGCAAGGGCCCGATCCTTGTTGTGGCAGTGCAGCTTCAGTCCCTTTCCCAACGTCTGCCCTGAGGCACGCATGCCAAGGAAAATGCCTTTATATGCCATGCTCTGGCACCCATGCCAGGGGTTGCCTACCCCAGCAACTAAATGCATCTCTGACTCTGCTGAAGGCAAACCCAGTTTTGACATATAAGCAGTGGCTGTGCAGTGTGAACGCTAGTTCTTGCGAAGAGCTAGCTGAGACTATGAAACAATTTAAAATTCCATGCCTGATATAAATAGTACCCTAAAACTGAAATATTAAATCATCTACTCAAATACACTTTTGATAAAAATAGTAACATAAAACTACTATTATCCTGAATACTCAACTGTATTGAAAATACTTGAAGTTGATTTTGATATTAAATGTATAATTTTTTTCATTATTAACTGGAATTTGTTGACTTTATGACAAACCAACAATTAAAACATTTCATTTATTCTCCATCACAAAAGAAAAATATTATATTGTATGTATATAAATATATATATCAACTGAAATAAAGAAAAGGAGAACCTTATTTATTATTTACCGGTCATATAGTGTACTTGAGAATGTGCAAAATATTGGAGGGTGCAACCAGTGCTTTGAGTTTTCATTCTAGAGTACAATGCAGAGATATAATACACTGCATAATCGAAATATGTGACTGTCTCAACATGGTGCAATACTTGTAGTTTTCAGTACTTTTCTAGACCTTGTTGGTGTAGTTATTTTGATAGAAGTAATCTGTATGTTTTATGGACTGGTTTGATGATAGAAATGGTGGTCAGCATTCACATACCACAAGAGGGAGCTGAAATCATATCAAGGATGTTGAAGTCATTAAGATGAAGTCCAATCATTGTTCTTGTTAATTGTCTTATGCAGTACTGCATTAAAATAGCCTTTGAGAGTAGCTGAGCTGCCTACAAAAGCTCACATATTTCTAAAAGAGTTGGTGCCCCCACGCCCTGCTTTCTGCCTGCGTTTGCAAAGCAAGAATGCTCATCTAAGGGCAGATTAGACACTCACTTGTTAGAAACTAAAATGAAAATTTGTGGCACTTCAGAATTTAGCTATTCTAGCGAGGTAGGAAACTACTTATGTCCATGATGGATGCAGGGAGGTGAAGGGGCAGATTTGTCCTTCACAAACAGTGGTTGTTTAATGATTCAGAGTAGAAAAGATGCAGGAAGTAGCCCTGCTCAGAGTCATAAAAGCAAGAAACTCTTTGATACCTTTATCAGATAAGGGCTAGAGCAGAGGTGGGCAAAATATGATCCGCAGGCCAGATCTGGCTCTTCAACTGCTTGTATCTGACCCATGGGTGGGCAGCCGCCGACTCATGAGATCTGGCTCTCCAGTGGCTCTGGCCACCTTGTGGTGCCAGGCAGGACCACTTCTGTGCAGTGCTGACACAACAGCATTGGCTGTAGACCTGGGTAGAGGCCCCTATTCCCACCCAGAACTTGCTGGGCATGTCCATAGCTGATGCCAGCACCCACCCAGGGCTGCTTCCACTGTAATAAGCAGGTGGTGGCATAAACTGCAGATGGGGCCAGCAGGTTCCATGTAAGGAATGGGGATCAGTGCATGCTACAGCTCCAGGGAGAGAGCAGGGAGAAGGGGGAAAGAGAGGATGGGGATCAGGGTGTACTACAGTTTCAGGGAGGGAGGGAGGGAGGAGAGAGAGAGATAGATGTGACCCTCGAAAGGACATCAAAACTCATTAAATAGTCCTCCAGGCAAAATAATTGCCTACTCTTGGGGTAGAGCATTCATCAAAGTTGATGGTGCCATTTGAATCTGATACTTTGCTTGTGACGCCAGTAATCCAAAACATACAACTTCTTGTCTGTCTGCACCAAGGCATTCTGCACACAGCAGCACATGGTATTGCAGACCTCACAGTGCCTTTTCTCACTGGCACTAGACGGTTGTTTACCCCAGTGGCATAGTCAGAAGGCCCAGGACTGCCATAGGCTCAGTCCTTGGTACTGTTGGATTTGCTTGTTTGGAGTGCCAGTTAATTAGTGCCAGCACTAATTCCAGTGCTGTAACACACTACATGCTTATAAAAAGACAGACCCTGATTACTTTGAAGACTAATGTTTCCACTCAATGGCCTACCAGTGCCAGTATAGCTAGTTTTGGCCTGGGAGCTTTCAACAGCTTCTTCCAAGTACAGAGGGACATTTGTCCTCCTGATCCCAGGATCAGGATCACTTTTTTTCTCTCTGAGCCACTGTGGCCATTCAGTCCCTTTAGCAAAAAATGGAAATTCAAAAGAACATTTGTTTTGTGGGGGGCAATCTTATTCAAGCAACTTCAGGAATTCATGAAAAGCATCCATTTCCTCAAAGGAGACATTAGAATAATCACACTCCCTAGCTGACACACTGTATCAGCTGGATCCTACAAGACTGGCCTTACCCATTCATGAGGCGACTGTGGATTGAGCCAAGATGATACAGCAAACTCCAGCCTATTGCCACTGCAGTGCCAAGAGAACAGATAAAAGTGACAAAAGTCCCTCCAGAGGTATCAAATGATTGTATGCACATTCTAATGTTCCTTCTCTAGTTGTGATGGCAGCAAATGAAAATGTAAGACTGAATGAGGAAAGAGAAAATAGGAGACCAGGTTCTTCTGTGATTCTCCAGTTCAAAACTACTACTACCAGGTTTTTCCTGACCCAATATGATTTTTATGTTTATGAGAAGATTGCAGACCTGGTGGAGTCCCTTCCCCTGGTATCTCTGATCACAGAGGGTCAGCTAGTGGCAAAGAAGGCTCCTCAGATAGCTCTGGGTGATGCAGCTGATGTTGGAGCTAGATCTATGGCTTTTGAAGTTGTAATGCATAGATCTTCTTGGTTGAAGGGTTCTGGTTTTCCAGAGCGCCAGGCTACTGTGGAAGACCTGCCTTTGAGGATCTAGGAGTGTTTATTTTTGTAAGCCTACTTCATATGTGTGTGTGTGTGTGTGTGTGAATACATGCATGCTTTGATCATGTGGTCTGTTCCACTGTGGATTCACTTTGCATGCCCTCCTTAGGTGTACAGGAGGAGAGGGTCCCATGACAGTTGGGAGAAGAGGGTCCCCTGAAGGGCCAAGGAAGAAAAGCTTCAGGGCTGTCACTGAAGAGCCTGGAGAGGCCAAAGGGTCTCACAATGGGCATTCTTGCAGAGGCTGGTAAACTCTCAGTGGTAAGAAAGAGGGAGAGCTGTATCACTAGTCAGACCCCAAGCTGGTATCCAAAAGGGGGCATCTTCAGCAGTGACCCCAAGCAGCAGGCAGCATACCTCAGCTGACCCCTGCGGTGCTGAAAGAGCAGCAGTTGGTCAACCTGATGGCAAGAAACAGAAGAGCAGTGACTTTGAAAAGTGACGAGCAGCATGCTTCAGCACTCCACAGAATGATGGCAGAGGTAGCGTCCCTGAGTGGTGAGAAGTGGCACAGTATGCAGTGATCTCAAGCAGAACAGAAAAAGAAACAGCTGCAGTGATCCCAAGCAGAAACCAGTGGATAGAAATCTTTCCCAGTGAACCAAAGAAACTCTTCTTCCCCAACCTTTTCCTGAATGAGGCAGCAATCCCATTTCCCAGGGTGGGAGTAGTTCTCAAAGAAACCGACACCAAAAGACCACGAGGGCTTGTTGTTTAGGGCTGTTTGTTATTTGGGGATTTTCTTCTGTTGTTTGGAGTATTTTGGGTTATTTAATAATTGGGGCATTCTATACTTGTTACGTTTGATAAGGTTATTTTCTTCTCCTCCATTAAATAAATGTTTATATACTGTTGGTACCCAAATTGCTTGTGAGTAGGGAAGTTGTTTTTTTAGGACCCCCAGTTAAGATGAAATTTTCTTAGGTTTCTGGGTGGGGTCTCGAGTCAAAACCACCTAAATTTGAGCCCAGATCTTATTCTGCACTTAGGGCCCAGCCGAAGGGTTACATTTTTAAGACTGATGAGTTTCTGCACACCTTACAAGAGTCTAAAGCCAGGGGTGGGCAAATATTTTGGCTGGAGGGCCACTAAATGGGTTTTGGTGAGCTGTTGAGGGGTGCAAGGGTAGCCTGCCCCTTGACAGGTGCCCTGCCTCCAGGTCGCCATCTTGGGACCGGAAATCCCATCCTCTAGCCCCTGATCTTTGCCACTGGAAGTCCCTCCTCTTGCCTTGGAAGTACTTCCCAGCAGAACACAGTTCTGGCTGCATGGCCAGGACCCCCACAGTGCAGCACAGAACCAGCCTGGCCCCGTGGTGCGCTAGAGGTTCAGGAGTTGTGGGAAGTCCTGCACCATCAGGCTGGGCCGGCTCCATGTCGTCATGTGGTGCTTCTGGCACTCTAGCTGGGAGTGGCACGTAGAAGCACAAAGCCAGAGTCCTGTGAGCCCCATGGAGTGGGGCCATCACTAGCGGTCTACCCCCACTCCTCCCCAAGCCATGCTTACCTAAATTTCTACTCTCTGATGGAGGGAGGGCTGGGGAACAGTCACAGG